TCCGTAAATTTTGTCCTTTCTAATGATATTTGCTTAAATGCAATGACTATTGAAGTAAGTGTAATTCTTTCATTTTACATTCAATCGGATTTCCTTTATTAGAGGGCAAATAAAATTACACACAGATTCATGCTAATGTGCTATTTTTTCCTTAGTAATATATCAGTTTACTGTAAGGTCGGACCTTGATAAGTGCAGTGCAATCTAAGGGACGATTAAAAAAAAAAAATACTTTTTTTACTTTAAGGTAAGGGTTAATAAAGACTTTAACAACTTGGGGTTTGGGCAAATAGGGTTTGTGCTTAAGGAATATGTGCTTAGAGGAGTATGGTCTATAATAAAAAAATTGTTGCACTCAGGAAGGCTAAACCAATAAGTAGTTTTATAATTGAACTTCGTTAGGAGTATGACCATATACCATATATTAACCTTTTCACTCATGCTAAGGGTTATACATTTAGGAGTATGATTATATATCGATTTTTCTCCTTCGAATTAGAAGTATAATTATGTATTAATTCTCTTATTAAATAGTCTATAATTAAAAAAAATCAGTGTACTCAGGTAATTATTTATTTATAATTGAACTTTGTTAGGAGTATGACCTTATATCATATATTAACTTTTTCACTCGTGCTAGGGATTATGCATTTAGAAGTATGAATTTGTCTCTTACAGTCTGGAAGTATGATTATATATTAATTCTCTCATTAAATGGTCCATAATAAAAAATCGTCACACACAAGAAGATTAAACCAATAAGTGGTTTTATTAGTTTGAGCCAAGTAATTATTTATAATTAAACTTCATTAGAAGTATGACCATATACTATATATTAACCTTTTTACTCGCGCTAAGGGATATACATTTAGGAGTATGATTATATATCAATTTTTTCTTTCGATTTAGAAGTATAATTATGTATTAATTCTCTTATTAAATGGTCTATAATAAAAAAAATCGATGCACTCAGGTAATTATTTATTTATAATTGAACTTCGTTAGGAGTATGACCTTATATCATATATTAACTTTTTTACTTGTGCTAGGGATTATGCATTTAGGAGTATGAATTTTTTTCTTTCAGTCTGGAAGTATGATTATATATTAATTCTTCATTAAATGGTCTATAATAAAAAAATCGTCGCACTCAAGAAGATTAAACCAATAAGTGGTTTTATTAGTTTGAGCTAAGTAATTATTTATAATTGAACTTCGTT